ATTACAGGACAAGTTAGTTAGTATTTTCTTAAAAAACTGCCATTTTTTTAGCGACACTATATATTCATAGTGTGTCCACTTATAGTGTGTGTAGAGTTTTAAACATGACATATCTATTTTGTGTGAAATCAAAACATGTTTATTTTATGTATATACAAAGAGACTGTGTAGAAATTACCAATAATTCCTGATATCAAATTTGAGCATATTATATCTTTAAATTCGGTAATATTTTTTTTATAAATAATGCTTTTTTTGAACCTACAATATTGATTAAACTTAATTTGAGCATCATATTTATGATTTAAAATCATAAAAAAATTGTGTTACAGGATCTGTAACTGATATGGATCAAATATGTGTGTTAGTGTATGTGAGATATTATTTCGGTATTGTATGACAAGAAAACAATATGAGAAGTGAAAATATCAATACAAATGTTTTTATTGATGCTTTAAAAGGCTGACACTATATAAACGAGGGAGAAAACATTATTTCATTATCATTACAAGACAAGCATTTATGCAAAACACCAGAGGGCGTCCAAGCAAGAAATGAAGAAAGTTAAGATGAACTAGTACACATATGATGACAATATATTCTTATAAACTTTTCAATGGTGAATTGGTTTTTACTAGAATTGTATGTCACTTATGAATGAGCGGACGAAAGACATTGTTCATTATGAACTTTTATAGGCATGCTAGAGATTAGAATATTACTTTTTTTACACAGGAACTTGAAATTTAATCAATATTAACGATAATATTCAAAATATACAGGTCAATGATATTCAAAATATACTCTACATATGGTATAAGTTTTTTTATACTGTATAGGGGGTACTTTTGGATATTATCATTAATATTGGTGATTTGATAGAATTTCAAGTTCATGTTGTATTTTCTTTGGAACATACAAAATAGTAGTCAACATTAATAGATCTTTTACCTTTTGGAAATAATAAAGTACATATAATATTATATTATAATTGTTATTTTTTAATGATCATAAATGCACATGTAATATCGTGATTATAAATAGCAACGGATATATACAGTCATTTATAATCCATTTGTGTAACGCCTGATCAACACCACACTTGTGTATTGTCCGTTATTATGTTATCGCTATTAGCGAAGACCCCCTCTTTAGGTATTTGTTCACATTTAGTAAAAATATGACACTGGTTATATTACCATGTTGATCATGTTGAGCATAATTGTTGTATTATACAATAATTGTAATATCTATTTTAATATGTTTTACATATTTTGTGAATATTGTTTTCTTTTTCTTTTTTGTGAGTTTTATGATCTATTTTAATAATGAGTTTTACGTTTACTACTTTTTTCTTTATTAAAATTGTAAAATAAATTTTAAGAATTCAATTGTCATATTGACCCACGATTATAAGTCAAAAATTAACTGGAAAAATTCAATAAATTATGGTTAATCTTTCAATATATTATATTGTGTATTCTTAAACCATGTACATGTACATTTGTATTTTTCTGTATCATTTTTAAATTATCAATCAATTGAATAATTCATAAAATCTAATTTGGAACTTATGATAATTCCTCAACATCTTTACTGAACACGAATAACAAATTAAATATAATGTTTCAAAGTTGATAATGTCATATAGATACCATAAAAATGTACCTTTTTACTCAATTATTGTACATATTTATTGTTTTTATCTCATATAAATAAAATGAAACATGCTATTGTTGTTGTTGTTTTTTTTCGAATTGTATGTTTATGTATAATAATAATCAGTAAATTTGAGAGTTGATCTGTGTTTATAAATTATTGTAACCAAACTAAGTGACAACCATTCTTTTTTGGGATATGTAACGATATCAAACAACTACTCCAAAACCTTGAACGACCGGATAATAAACGTGTGATACTATTCGCCGTTCTCTAGTAATCCCGGTCAAAATAGACCGGGAGAGACCGGGAATTACCGAAAGGAGACCGGCGAATAGAGTTCGATATTGTACATGATAAACAAACATCCTCATACCAATCGGAATGATCGGCTATTATGACCGACTAAAAGGCCCGAGAAGTTGCAATTGCCCTTTTTTATTCTATCAGGGGCGTCGCGCTTCGGTGCGGAGAGACTATGTTACTAAAAATATAAACTCGCGCGTGCAGCTAAAAATAGCCGATATATATATATATATATTCTATTTTAAGCTCGCACGGAAAATCCAAAATGTGATATAAATAACTACGGATAGGAATTTCCTAAATTACGCTGGTTATTCATGTCAAAAGATATGAAATTTAAATTCATAAAAAAATACGATTTTCGTTTTAAAATAAAGGCAAAGAATAAATATTTTCTAACTGCATAGATGACATTGTTCATTAAAATAAACCGTAATCTAAGATACAGATAGTCAAACATGCACAAGAAATTTAAAATTAATGATTGTTACCAAAACAATTGAAACTCTTAAATATTTTTTTTTTACTAAATAAAATATACAATAAAATACATTGATATTTCAAATCAGAACTTTGACTTTACTCTGTGACCATATGCATATGGTTAAAATTACAAATGGTGACACAATTACATCACAAGTTCAAGATGTTGACATATACAGATTTTGCCTCTTTTAACGTTATGTCGGTTGTAAGGTGCCTCTTCCAAACTGTCGAAATCTTCGGCCAGAACTGGTAAGATTTCCTGGACATAACGTTTGATACTTGAAAGTGCGTAAGTCTGGAAAAAAAGTATTTTAGGTAATAAATTTCAGGCTAAAAATTAACAATTATAACTACAGATAAGTATCTTTTTATCTCACTAACCAGAACAATCCGTAAATGCTACTAAAAGTGATGGAGTTGGAAAATCTTATCTCACATAGTCTTATCTCACACTCCACGTGCAACAATTCTTTAAGTATTCCTACACGTACGCGATATTTAATCTTATTTTAACAAAATGAAACTTTATAGGGGACAAATGTATTAAAATATGAAAGGTAACGTGTTAGTCTAACAGCTGATCAATGGAATCGAATTATATTGAAAATAACTTTCACGCCAAAGCTCGTTCCCAATAGATTCTTTTATATCTAGCATGGGCATGATGTCATATTAAATCGGGTAACATTATATGATATTACAAATAGTATGATATAATATTTAGGAAATAAATATCAATTCTGAGTGCATTGTTGTAGAATAATGCACGGTTTGAGTTCAAATGCGTAGTAATATATTCACGAAGGCCGATAGGCCTGAGTGATTAAATACAAAGCATTTGAACGAAAAACGTGCATTATTATACAATAATGCACGAAGAATTAATATCTATTTCCATTTCTAACACGTCAAGAAAAAAATATAATTATTATTATAAAGTTGGACTTTGATGTTTGGTGGTTTAAATTTGTTTTCGCCTCAGGAGTTTCCAATAGAAACGTTCTTTAAAGGCCGTTCCAGTGGGTTGAAAAAAACTGTCGTTAAATCTACCGTATGTAGAAACATTTTGAGAATAACGAATTTTGAAAACGTTGATAAAACTTTGTTTGTTTATTTTATTTCAGTCTATAATTTTCCAAGCGAATAACAAATTATTAAAAGTGAAATATACGTAAAACTTGACTCGTTTGCGACATTAAAATAGCGTACTTGATTTGATTGTTTTGCACGTGCTGTTTGGCGCTACATTGTGACGTCACGTAAACAACACTTTAAACGTCTGTACAGCGTTAACGACTGAATTAAAGATATTGGTGTTCGGATTCATTTTCTTAGTTAGACCATTTTCTTTCATTCTAAATAGTTTTCACAACAAAATTCGACAAAATACTGTTTTATTTATCAGATTTTTCAAACAAAATGGCGCCGTCAATGTGAAAATACACAGGGAGATAATAAGAACGGCGAGTGCATTGTTGTAGAATAATGCACGCTTCGGGCCTTCTTTGTTTATATAGAAAAATTTCCGATAGTGTTAGAATATATAATATTATAGTTAAAAGCATGCATGTTGAGTGTCGAGTCGTGTCCTGTCTCACATTGCATACTGTATATTACCTCAGCTAACGGCTCTCCAACCTGTGGATATTTCTCCATGATGACTGATTTGAGGTAATCCTAAAATAATAACAAATACCTTCACAAAGCGGGAGTACGCTCTACGTTTTCTGCTTTTTAAAGCCAATTACATGCAAAATATTATATTAATGATCAACATTATTTTTTGTCCAATCACATTGTAGTATTTTTCAAATTTCTGCTTTGTCTAACTTTGGTTAATGTGTACTAACTAAATAAAATTCACTTAATCTGTCGTCTAACCGTAGTCTAACAAATTTCAATAATGCATTATATTAGGGAAGAGTTAGAGGTATGGTTGTAAAATGTCAAGGTTAGCAAAACAATGCCAACATAAAAAAATTAGTCGAGGTCAGGTGGATACAATCAACTGATTTATTACATAGATAATACATGTTGGGTACGCAGAGACAAATGATTGCATATTGACTTTTTTATATCCTTTGAACTCTAAGAAAAATGACTGTTATAAATTGCTGACTGTTTTAAACTTTATATTTTATAGAAAAAGTAACCAAAACAATATTTTCTTTCACTTGATAGGAATAAACTGCATTAACAATCATTGATATCAAGAATACAATGATTACATTTTTGGCTGGAAAACTCATTGAACATGGACCCCCTTCACACAGAAAAAAATGAATTGTTTTTAAAATGAGCAAATCAATAGGGATTTTAAATGTTAGTGAACTTGAAGCTAATAACAAATTTGTATCAATGAATAATCTCTAATGTATTTTTTTCTCACATTTTCCATTTATTTTAAAAGGATGTACACATTTCATTAACTCCATTGTTTTTACCTAATTGCATCGTTTTCCTCGCTGTTTTTTCCAGACATGTTATAAACAAGATAAAGGTATAAATTCTGTGACATTTCAGTAGAAAATGTGCCTGGGTCATTTATTTAGCTTATCTAAATGTGACATGTTAGCAACTTGACAAGGAAGACATGTAGAGCGAAAGGGCGGAGCTATCGGTGATTTAGAGAAATGCCTTGTTGTTTGTTGAAAAAAATAATGTTGATCATTAAATAGGTTAATGCATATTATTAAACACTAACCTATACGTAAAGAGTATTCCTAAAAATCACTTTTATTTTTTCATTTTTTTCTTCTTTTGTTACGATTAAATTTCAAAGGTCAAGGTCATATCAAAATAATCCAACATGTCATTTTGTCATATGTGTTATTTTTAGCAAATTTCAATTATTTGACCTTAACGGTCAAGGTCAAATAAAGGGTAAGGTCATATTTGAATTATTCGGCGTACGGGTTTTGTTATAATTGTTTAAATTAAAACAAATCAAGCAAATTTCAGATATTTGACCTTAAAGATCAAGGTAATTCTTTAGTTAATATCAGTCTGGTTTACTTGAATATTTTGTCCAAAACGTTGTTGTGTCCAAGTTCTAAGACGGTTCATTTTTTAAATAAAAGAAAAAAATAATGTCCAGTGTTATAAGTTTCGGACGCAAAGGAAACGAACGAACGATAAGACTGTAGCAATAGCTCAGAAGTTTTCTTTCGAAAACTCGAGTTCAACATAATCAATGAAATATCTTATAGTAAAAACCATAGAGTTATAGTTGTCGAGAGGCCATGGTGACGTTGACTTTTAGATTATTTTGCATTTTAGTGGATGAAAGGGGGTAGGGTCTAAACTTAAAGTCCCATGAAACAAAACGAAATTGCGCTTGAAAAGAATTATTTCCCTTGACTTATGACAAATGTTAGGATGTGCCCTGTGGTTGAACTACAATATACAGCAATATCAAACCCATACCTGATCTTAATAAAGATTGTGTCTAGCTTTGAATTGGGAGCAGTCCCAGTGGGGTATTTCAAAATGCAAAAATCGAGCTTCCAACACTAACGAGCCCGGACATACTGGAATGGCTTTATACTAGTGGTAAAGGCTAATCAGTGTCAGCGGGCAAAGGATTAATAAATTACATCGACCTTGACCTAAACATAAAAAGGGACTGTTTTTGTAGCATTGGTAATGGTTGGAAGTGTGAAAGGGTAGGTAGACTCTGTATGAAGCATTATAAAACTGAACTTACCTTACATTTGAAGACATTATACCTCATGATAATGAGCTGTAAATAAAAATGAAAAAAATATGTATGAAATAAATAAGATGGAAAACACAAATAAGGTTTAACTCTGGTATTATTAAGACAGTCAATCAATTTTCTAAGGACTCTTCAATTATTTTGTCAAACAGCAGGCTGCTATAAATGTTCTTAAAATGGCAAATGGATGATTGACTGATAAACTGGTGTTTGTTTTATATAAGTTACTCTAGTTATGCGGTCAACCATCGAAATGACCCAAAGTACATATATATTTCTTAAGTCTACGAAAAATATGATAATTCATAAATAGACAGGATACAAGTGCACTAATTATTGAATGTAAAGAGGCAATACATACATTAATTAATACGAGGACAATTCAGGTTCTCACCTTCGGACGATTGTTTTTACTTCCCGAAAATATCAATAAGACTCCATTATTAATGAACTGGTTGCCAAATTTGTCCCATATCTTTCTCTGTAACGATAAATCCCGCTGCAAAAACAATAATTGTACTTGGAATAACTTTCTACTTATTAATGATGATGATGATGATGACGATGATGATGATGATGATCTATTATTATAATTATTATTATTATTGCTATTATTGCTATTTTTGCTGTTATTATTATTATTACTATTATTATTATTATTTTAAAATTATTTGGAATATAAACATAAAACACACGATGTATAGTTTTATTGAAACTCAAAATATTTAACCTGTTTTCTGCTGCAGCAACATGAAATGATGCACATTATCGGAAGCACTGCAAGTGGTAAAACTATCAACAGCATGGATACAATTGTCAGAAAAGATGTCATATAATCTGACTCCTCGACAGACAGGCGTGTCCTCGAGGCTGTTGCTATTTTGCCAGTCCAATAAATAAAAGCCACAGTGAAAAATATTGCGGGAATTGTGAAGATTCACCAGCAACAAATGTTACACTTTTTACGGAAGTCGTACGACCACATGACAGAAGACTTGTTGATGAAATTGAATGTCTGTATTAGAAGCGATTGTGGTATCTGAAATAAAGGAGAGATTAAAGTAACAAAGATAAACGCAAAGAGAAAAGTATGTAAAATCATCAAACGGGTTATTTTAACTCCTCTAGAATCCAAAATCAGCCAACACAACTGTTCAGTCTTATCATTGTCGGCAATGTCCGCTATTCGTTAAGAAATGATAACTTCAAACTGTAGCAGCCAACAATTACTGTTTGTTAAACCTCTTTTTTAAAATAGTGCAGTTGGTTTAAACAATGAAGCAGAGCAAAACTGTGCATGACAAACGAGTAGGGACTGATCCAAAGAGGCAGATAATGCAAAGCGTTGGACCATGACAAACAGTTTTTGTTTCAAACCTTGTTCTTTATCATAATTTTCTTTGGACATGCCAAGTGTAAGAAAACTCTGCTCATTAGTTTGAATTTTCCTTCTTTACCCTTGTAAAATGAAAAAGAAAATCTGTTGAAGATGTCTTTAATTATAAAATGTATACAGTTGAATAAAATCATTTAAGATATTTAAGATAACTGTACGTTATCACATTTTTTTCTGTCCTTAGAAGAAAACAATACAAATGAAATAGGATGGACTGACTTACCTGGATATTATCGGTCTTTAACCTCTTGAACAGATCTGATGTGGGGTTGAATTGGTACTTTGAAGGTCTGCAAGGCATGCACGTTTTCTTCCTATCCCCAAAGATACTAAAGCTGTATCCGTTTTCATCTGTTATAAAATTAAAACGTTGTGTTTATGTGTTGTTATTACAGTGTAACTTCCGAATTCCGGAACTTCTGAAATCCGGAAACTTCTAAAAACCGAACAATTTTTTCGGTCCCGATTTTTTCCCTTCTATTTTCTATTAATATAATACTTCTGAATTCCGGAACTTCTAAATTCTGAATTCCGGACGATATTTTCGTAAAATTAGAGTCAAATCAATGCAATTTTACCTCCAAAAATCGGAAATATCCAAAGGTGTGAAATACATTGTAAATCGAGAATGTTAACCCTGCAGGAAGATTTAATCTTTTTAATCTCCCTATCGATTGTTTACTAATTAGCGGTGATCGTGTAATTTGACACGTGTTAAAATCACAAACTGTGAAATGGTATGTTTGAAGTGATGCGGTTAATCAAAGTAATTTACGGCTGTCAGTTAATTTGAAGTGTTTATTAGCAGATTAAATGACAATTAATTGGACAATGTATGCATTCAAACGTCTTTAGGGATTTTATTGCAGTTGATTTAATAATTAATAAATTATCATCGGACGATAAGTAAGTTTATGCAATTAACAACATTTCTACAATCTGATAGAAATTCAAAAGCTTTTGCAGGTAAGATAAAAATGTATTCTTTTCATTCACATCTTTATCTTGATTAAAAGACTATTATATATGATATTACAGTAATGGCCACATCTTCCTTGACATTTAGTGATATTAAGTGGCTTAGTCTTGTCCACATTTTCATAAACCTCTGAATTCCGGAAACCTCTGAAATCCGAACTTTTTGACAAGTCCCATGGGTGTTCGGTTTTCGGAAGTTACACTGTATTATTTGTCTATATTAGTTACGCATAAAAGGCCTTATGTTAACTTATCGTTTAAATTAAAGCTTTACATATATCATATGTTTGTGCCAAATAAAGTCTTTGTTCTGTTCTGTTCTGTTCATATAAACGACCAAGCATGAGTCGGCTAATCTTGGTATGTATGCGCTGGTCGCAATGGTAACGTTCGTTGCCGCCGGCATAGAAACAAGTTACGGAATATATCTAATTGATCAGACGATAGTTATCGTTTGATTATCATTGTAAGTTTAGATAATTATATGACTGGAATATAATATATCCATCATGTTTGATTGACATCAAATGGTTATTGATATAAACTTATTAATGAGACATGAGGGTTTTTGTTAATTACATGCCTTAATTTTGCATACCATATTTCCTCTCTTGATAGCGTTTGCACTTACTCTTATCTCTTTCAGGATACTGGAAACTCTTGTGGCATTGAAAGCAAGACACTTTGACTCCTTGACAATTTGATCTTTTGGGATATGGAGATGACCTTTACACCCCTTTTCGTGACATTTAGTCGACTAATGAAGCAGACATATATAACTCTATTTTTGTGTTTAAAAGTAAAAAAAAAGTATTTTTTGAAAAGATTAATGAATAAAATTCAGGCAAATTAGAATAATCAGATTCTTACATGTACATTAGTGGCATTTAGTCTTTTTAAATAGCAACATCTTCTTGAATAACTTAAAAACTCAGATTCACATTTATTTTCTTACGTCTTTTTAAGACATTTCCACTTTTAAATGCTATCGCCTTTTTCATTGAACTTAAATCTAGTAATTTTTACAATTGTCTAAACTTACATTTCTTGATTGAACTTGTAAACTCCTTCGGCAATAGCCTCTCTGGCTCATCTATGAAAAGAAATTTAACAATATTATCGCATAGATTCCTATCGATTTCCGTAAAAATTTGATGTTTTAATCTGTTAATAAAATGATTCAGACTTAAATGAAACAAAAACATGAACAACTTTAAGACAGTTTGTGTGTTTACTGTTTTATTTTATGTTACCCCAACACTGTAAATATAATTATTTTGTGCTTAACTGCCAGGTGAAGGAAGACATGTGTATCTCGGTGCATTATTTCAGGCGTAATTTTGTTTATTTTTGATCAAACACTGTCCAAAACATAGTAATAGAAATGTCATCTTAACACGAAGCTATCTGATTTGCATGGGGATTATTATGAATAAAAATCAAGAATATTATTAAATATAAGGAATATTCTGTTTCTCTTGTATCATAGGCAAAACTAAAACTATTTTCCCTGTCATCAATCATAAAACCCAAATGTAACCAATGTATGAGAATCTAAATATCACTTTTTATCCGATATAATGTCCTTTAATTGTTTTATTACATGTGAGGAAGCTATCCAGCTAGCTTACGGAAAGTCGGTGGTTCTACTCAGGTGCCCTTTCGTACCTGAAATAATGCACGGATCGAGAGGCACCTGAGGTCTTCCAGTAAAAGCTGGCACGCCGCCGAATGACCTATGTCGGCGTGACGTAAAACCCAAAATAAGCAAACATAATTTATTATTGTATCATAGTCTGGAGACCTTTATTTTCTACCCATATATTCACAGTTAATTTGGGTTCCATTCCACAACCGCACCTAGCCTTCTGTCGATTGTCGACTGTGGACGGGCGACATTTTTCTAAGGTTTATTTATTGTTGCGTCAGAGAAAAGTGATATGAAACGAATTTACACACCGTGTGATAATTGAGTTGAACCGAAATTAACTGTGAATATTTTGGTAGAAAGGTCTCCAACCAAACAATGATACAATAATAAATTATGTGATAAAACAATTTAAGGGCAGTAGATCAACATATATGTAATATATTTAAAACAAATTTACTTACCGTGCGGTAGTTGAATTGAACCTAAGTTAACTGTGAGTATATGGGTAGAAAAGTTTCCAAACTATGATTCAATAATACACTATGTATTAAAAACAATTAAAGGACTGTAGATCTACAAGTAAAATATTTGAAACGAATTTACTTACATGTCTCAGTGTCAATCAAAGCCGATGCTATCTTCGCAGGAACATCACTGTTGGGGTCCGTCGCATCAACATAGGTCAATGGCATTAGTGCCGAAGGTATTTCACATTCCTCAAGTTTAACAGGAATTATGAAATTCGTCCTTTTCTCAACAGAGCACGCGAAAGCATATTCTTTCTCATGATAACACCAATCACTTTGATGAAAATTTGGAGTCAGGAACAAAAGAACTTTAAAAGATCTCGCCATTCCTTCTTTGATACATTCTTGAGTGTTTTTCCCCGGCTGAAAGTCCCGATTCGCATATACACATGGTAATTTGAAACGATTTTCAGATCCTCCACATACGACCAAACACGATCACTATCTTCACTACTGTAAGAAACGAAAAAAATATTTGTCTTTCCCCGTGGGAAGTTCGGGTAAATTATGTTGGATATCTAAATCAGCGCCAGATCGTTGAGATCTTCTTTTTGCGTGTCGGATTATGTCTATCGTCTGCTGTCGGAAAACTGCTATTCCTTTCTTCGTTCAAACAAGTGTCAAAAATAACGTCTGGATTACCATTATCCCCCTGAATATTCTTTAACAATGAGTAATTTTCCATATTATATATCACAATAACTAAAAATGTAACAAAGTTAATCAAGTCTAGTGAAAACTAGTAAACGCGTGTTCTCTAGCTGTTTTAAAATAAACTGTATTTGTTTGTACAAAATATCGATTAAATTACGCATGCTTAACCCATATTAGTATTTTTAGAAATTTGAAAATGAAAGTACATAAATAACTTTGCTTATCAGGGGAAGTAACTTCTACCTGAGTTAGTTGGGTTTTTCCAAAATTAAGTTTCAGAAAATTGCAAATCGAAAGTAGACTTTTATTATCATTAAATTCCGTTTGTGATGGAACGAAGTTATAGTATGCATATTTTTGTTTTACTCGTCTGCATATACTCTTTATTTCAATCGGTAAGTGTTTATAATTAATAACTTATTTATTTGTCAAAGTCTTCTTTTTCAAATAATGACAAATTAATTTTCGTAAATATGGTTATCGCATGGTTTTGAACTTTTCCTTTCTTCTTACTAACCCATTATACTCAGTACACTTCAATGAACATTTGAAAACTGAATTGCTATACAGCAGGACAGTTTTTTCATTGATTCATATAAAAAAAAACTCGACTGCTATGTAGCGGTTGCATTTTTTTCGCACCTTGTATATATCGATGTAGTTTTTTTTCACATACGCTCCAATGGGGCAGTGGTAACGAACTTTCCCAGTAGCAAAAAAAGTACATAAAAATGGAATCAATAAAATAAAATAAATACAATGAAAAATATAAATAAAGATAATTAATGAAATAAAATGTACTCTCCTTTAATCAAAAGGTACATCCGCTGAATGAATTATTTCAACTGATAAATGCCCCTGGTAACAGTTTACAATCCGCCTCTAACATTGGATGTCTTTTGTATATCTTATATATATTTTTTTTTTTTGCGGCAGTGAAAACAACTTGAAAAAAACTTCCTTATCATAAATAACTGAAATGTAGCTAACGATTTATTTATTATTAATGCCACTGCGATAAAACAGTTATAGTATATGAAACTCGTTAGTTAATTATGAGGATATAACACTGGCTGGGCGACATCTCGGGATATTTTTTCTGTAAAAAATTGTCTCGCCATGTTTTAGCAGAAACATCTTTTGATGTCGCTCCAGTCAGTGTTATATCATCGTAACTAACTCGTTTCATGTACTATAACTATTACTTAGTGGCTCTAATTATCCACACTTTACAGGCAACGGAACGTACATTTCGTACAAAGCGGTATGAAAGAATAATGTTTACCAGTATTAAATGATTTCAAGAACGATTGCGTCCTATCTAAATGATTAATCAACAGCTACAAAGGTAGTATTTTAATTAATACATGTAACCGACGAACGAGTATTAAAATAAATGTATATGTATTTATCTGAACTTTTCTGCATTTATGCATTCAAGGTCTTTCACTTTTGACAGACCCCTGGAAGATGTATTCTATTCTTACATACAGGCATTAAAATTGAACTATCTCTTGTATTAAAGTATGTGTTTGATAATTAGTCCTATAAGATATTCACTTATAATCAATTAAAACAATCTAACTCATAATTTAGAGGTCCATTGAGGTCGTGCATGAAAGCTTTTTATGTAAAAGTAACTTTTTATATTCATCATCGTTACTACACGCCTTGCAAATGATAAATATATTTATTATCTGATTTTGTACCTCAATATTCTAGCAGAAGTGTTATTTGGCACTAAAGACCAATACGTTTTAAACAGTGAAATGATGTTTAAACATGTTAATAAAATGATTCAGACATAAATAAAACAAAAACATGAAAAACTTAAATACAGTTTGTGTATTTACTGTTTTATTTTATGTCACTCCGACACTGTAAATATCAACATTCTGTGCTTAACTGGTGACAGAAGACATCAGGTGCCTCTCGGTGCATTATTTCAGGCATAATTTTGTTAATTCTTGATAAAACACTGTCCAAAAAATAGTTCGCACTTGATAATAATAATAAGATCTAAAAGCAATAGAAAGGTCATCTTAACACGAAGCTATCTGGTTGGTATGGGGATTATTATGAAAAGAAATTCAAGAATATTATTAAATATTGGGAATGTTCTGTTTCTCTTGTATCATAGACAAAACTAAAACCATTTTCCCTGTTATCAGATATAAAACCCAAATGTAACGATGTACGAGAATCTAAATATCACTTTTTATCAGATCTACTGTCTAAATTGTTTTATTACATATGAAGAAGCTATCCAGCTTGCTTACGGAACGTCGGTGGTTCCACTCAGGTAACGTTCGTACCTGAAATAATGCACGGAAGGGCACCTGGGGTCTTCCCCCAGCAGTAAAACCTGGCACGCCGCCGAATGGCCTATGTCGGTGTGACGTAAAACCCAAAATAAGCAAACATAATGTTGCCTTAGAGAAAAGTAATAATTACGTTTAAACGAAATTTACGCACCGTGTGATAATTGCGTTGAATTAAAATCCCCATACTGTGAATATATGGGTAGAAAGGTCTCCAACCAAATTATGACACAATAATAAATCATGTGATAAAAAATTAAGGGCAGCAGATCAACATACTGTTACATGTTATATATATAAAACAAATTTACTTACCGTGCGGTAGTTGAATTGAACCTAAGTTAACTGTGAGTATATACTTAGGTAGAAAGGTCTCCAAACTATGATACAATAATACACTATGTATTAAAAACAATTAAAGGACTGTAGATCTACAAGTAAAATATTTGAAACGAATTTACTTACATGTCTCAGTGTCAATCAAAGCCGATGCTATCTTCGCAGGAACATCACTGTTGGGGTCCGTCGCATCAACATAGGTCAATGGCATTAGTGCCGAAGGTATTTCACATTCCTCAAGTTTTACAGGAATAATGAAATTCGTCCTTTTCTCAACAGAGCACGCGAAAGCATATTCTTTCTCATGATAACACCAATCACTTTGATGAAAATTTGGAGTCAGGAACAAAAGAACTTTAAAAGATCTCGCCATTCCTTCTTTGATACATTCTTGAGTGTTTTTCCCCGGCTGAAAGTCCCGATTCGCATATACACATGGTAATTTGAAACGATTTTCCAGATCCTCCACATACGACCAAACACGATCACTATCTTCACTACTGTAAGAAACGAAAAAATATTTGTCTTTCCCCGTGGGAAGTTCGGGTAAATTATGTTGGATATCTAAATCAGCGCCAGATCGTTGAGATCTTCTTTTGCGTGTCGGATTATGTCTATCGTCTGCTGTCGGAAAACTGCTATTCCTTTCTTCGTTCAAACAAGTGTCAAAAATAACGTCTGGATTACCATTATCCCCCTGAATATTCTTTAACAATGAGTAATTTTCCATATTATATATCACAATAACTAAAAATGTAACAAAGTTAATCAAGTCTAGTGAAAACTAGTAAACGCGTGTTCTCTAGCTGTTTTAAAATAAACTGTATTTGTTTGTACAAAATATCGATTAAATTACGCATGCTTAACCCATATTAGTATTTTTAGAAATTTGAAAATGAAAGTAGATAAATAACTTTGCTTATCAGGGGAAGTAACTTCTACCTGAGTTAGTTGGTTTTTTTTCAGAAAATTGCAAATCGAAAGTAGACTTTTATTATCATAACATTTCGTTTGTGATGGAACGAAGTTACAGTATGCATATTTTTGTTTTACTCGTCTGCATATACTCTTTATTTCAATCGGTAAGTGTTTTTAATTAATAACTTATTTATTTGTTAATAAGTCTTCTTTTTCAAATAATGACAAATTAATTTTCGTAAATATGGTTATTGCATGGTTTTGAACTTTTCCTTTGTTCTTACTAAGCCATTATACTCAGTAGACTTCAATGAACATTTGAAAACTGAATTGCTATATAGCAGTACAGTTTTTTCATTGATTCATATAGAAAAAAAGCTCGACTGCTATATAGCGGTTGAATTTTTTTCGCACCTTGTATATATCGATGTAGTTTTTTTTCCAAAGACGCTCCAATGGGGCAGTGGTAACGAACATTCCCAGTAGCAAAAAAAAGTACATAAAAAATGGAATCAATAAAATAAAATAAATACAATGAAAAATATAAATAAAGATAATTAATGAAATAAAATGTACTCTCCTTTAATCAAAAGGTACATCCGCTGAATGAATTATTTCAACTGATAAATGCCCCTGGTAACAGTTTACAATCCGCCTCTAACATTGGATGTCTTTTGTATATCTTATATATATTTTTTTTTTTGCGGCAGTGAAAACAACTTGAAAAAAACTGCCTTATCATAAATAACTGTAATGTAGCTAACGATTTATTTATTATTAATGTCACTGCGATAAAACAGTTATAGTATATGAAACCCGTTAGTTATGAGGATATAACACTGGCTGGGCGACATCTCGGGATATTTTTTCTGTAAAAAATTGTCTCGCCATGTTTTAGCAGAAACATCCCTTGATGTCGCTCCAGCCAGTGTTATATCATCGTAACTAACTCGTTTCATGTACTATAACTATTACTTAGTGGCTCGTTTCTAATTATCCACACTTTACAGGCAACGGAACGTACATTTCGTACAAAGTGGTATGAAAGAATAATGTTTACCAGTATTAAATGATTTCAAGAACGATTGCATCCTATCTAAATGATTAATCAACAGCTACAAAGGTAGTACAAAATGTATTTTAATTAATACATGTAACCGACGAACGAGTATTGAAATAAATGTATATGTATTTATCTGAACTTTTCTGCATTTATGCATTCAATGTCTTTCACTTTTGACAGATCCCTGGAAGATGTATTCTATTCTTACAAACAGTGATTAAAATTGAACTATCTCTTGTATTAATGTATGTGTTTGATAAATAGTCCTATAAAATATTCACTTATAATCAATTAAAACAATCTAACTCATAATTTAGAAGTCCATTGAGGTCGTGCATGAAAGCTTTTTATGAAAAAGTAACTTTTTATATTCATCATCGTTACTACACGCCTTGCAAATGATAAATATATTTATTATCTGATTTTGTACCTCAATATTCTAGCAGAAGTGTTATTTGGCACTAAAGACTGGCGACTGGCGCATCGTCTAGCAATATTCTTAATTATGTTGACGCTCAAAAACGCCCTGATATCTATATTTAGCTAAAAGATTTCAAAATGGCGGCGCCCTGTTAACTATGTTTTTTTCTCTCACATAATCATAAAATAAGTTAAATTATACCCATATAACACAAACTGCCCGAAATATTATCAATGATTATTCTTCTGACATCCCCGTAGTATATATACAATCATATATAAATTCAGAAAGTACAATAAGTCATGACGTCAATATGACACAAGACAAATGGCGCCAGGAAAATTAATTCTAAGCTACATTATTGTCCACAATAACTATTTTTATCAATTATTGTCCCCGCCTTTTCGAAGATAAAAAGAGGGATATAGAAATAGGCTCCGTCCGTCTGTCCGTCCGTCAAACTTTCGTGTCCGGTCCATTACTTTGTCATTTATCAAAGGAACTTGAAATACCTTGGCACACGTGTTTGTTATAACACGACGATGTGTCATGCGCATCAAACAGACCCCTACCTTCAGGGTCAAGGTCGCATTTGCTCATTCAAGATCAACATTGTCTATCTGAGGGCTTATGTCGTGTCCGGGCAATTACTTTTTTATCTTTAAAGGGATTTTGTAAACACTTGCCACAATTGTTCACAATAACGAGACGATGTGTCATGCGCCACAACCGGTCACCTACATATAGGTAAAGGTCGTACTTTGAGTTCAAAGATTAACATAGTCTGTTATAGGGTATATTTTGTGTCTGGTCCATAACCTTTTCGTAAATCAAAGGATTTTGAAAATTCTTGGCACAATAGTCCCATTAATAAGACAATTAGTCATGCACAACAACTGCATCCCTACCTCTAAGTTCAAGGTCACACTTAGAGGTAAAACAATTAACATAGTCTGTTATAGGGTATTTTTATGTCAGGTCTATAACTTCTTCATAGTTCAATGGATTGCACAAATAGTCATAATAATAAGATGATGTGTCATGCGCAACAACTGCACCTCTACCTCCAAGATCAAAGTCATATACCTAGAGGTCAAAGATTAACATATATAGTCTGTTACAGTGTACATGTATACTTTGTGTCCGGTCTTTAACTATATAATTCTTCAGAATGAAGGGATTTTGTAAATACTTGGCACAAATGTTATCAATAATGAGACGTTGTGTCATGTGCAATAACCCGTCGCCTACACTAAGGTCAATGCAAAGATAAATATATTTTATTATAGGGTACATTATGAGTCAAGAATAGTTTCAGACCAAAGTAGAACCTTTCTTATCGCTGTTACTTATAGACCACCTCAATTCAACAAAAATGTGTATTTCACTCTCTTTTCATCTGTCGTAAATGCTATACCTAAGTCACATAATCTTATACTTTGCGGAGACTTCAACTTGATGCCCGATGATCCAATTGTGTTAAAGTTTTGTCAAGAACATCAACTTCGCCAATATGTAGAAAAAGCCAATTATCATTTTGTTGTTTTGAAATAGTGATACCCATATAAATGTATTTCTATTGACACATAAGGTAAATAGGACTTATTTCATTTTATTTCATTATTAAACAAATCTATATATTGTTGCATTTGCAGATCTAGCATTGATCAAAATTTTGGACTTAAAGTCCTAATTCATGCCTTAATCTTTTGAACAATTTTATGCTTCATATGATACTTCCCTAAGACAGGGGACGTTGGTCACTATGTTACAAATTCTTGTTTAATAATTTCATTAGCATGTTAGAATGGAAATAGATATCAATTTGTCTTGCCTCAAGTATTTCCTATTTGACGATATACAATGCTCATCTCTAAGAAAGAAAAAATATTGTAATCTATAAAATCTACGAAATTCTTGCTGAATATGTGTAATTTGCAGAAAAGAATGTACTTGTCTTGTAAACTATATATAGAAAGCTACATTACCTAATATTACAGGTAGATAAAATTGATTATTTCTTTAAAAATTGCCGTTTTTATTGACACTATATTATAAAGTATATACTCGTTTATTCATGTGATCTCCTCTTACAGAATTAGATCTCTGCCATCACAACATTTTCGTCCAGATTGTTGACATGACTATTTTCATTTTTGATATTTACTTTCAAACAGTAAAGTGTGAGATTTGAACCAAAATATAAAACAATTTTGGGAAACCAAAATTATGAAAATATTTTTGTATATCGCACCGTTTGTTTCCAAAACAATGGCCGCTTTCGAAAGAGAAATCATTCAAGTTATTAATAATTTCTATTCTACACTTAACAAAAGTGATTTTTTTTCAATCGTATTGTCAGACTTGACACCAGAGCTCAAATTAAAATGTCGCTGCTATTATAGCTAAAACCACAGACACTTTGGGTGTGGAGCTAAAAACACCTTGTAAATCCAAATAAAATGTATATTTGTCAATCTCAGCACATGTACTGATCATATATATCAAAAAAATTAATATAAGCCGTTTTGAAAAAAAATCATATTTCAACGTCTATAATAATATACAAGATAACAATGTTCTCCGGAAAAAAATCCGCACACCTACCGTCAACATCACAATATATTTTATTCCATTTCCAATATTTTCACATAATCCTTTGGTCCATCGACACAGAAGATATAATTCGTCACAATGATGGTCAGTTTTAAACTTCAACAGTAAATAAACAACGCAACAGCCGAAATAAACATCAAGATTGTCGCCGTTTTAGTCCATTTACAAAATATTTCGACAAATTCATACGTTGCTCCCCAGCTTTGCGAGTGCAAAATGCAATGCGCTTTGAAGATGGGGACCAGTCGGCTATAGGCGGAACCATTCGGTAATATGTTGGTTCCCATAATTCTAAGCGGTGCGTATTTGTACACAGCAAAGCTGGGGAGCCATGTTTGAACTTGTCGAAAGATAATGTAAATCATGTAAATGGAGTAAAACGGTGATAATCTTGATGTTTATTTCGGCTGTTGCATTTTTATTTCACTAATATGATGACTAGATATTTTTTGTAAATGTTCAACATGCAAAAACACAAATAAATGTGGTACATCAAGTTTTATTTTGTTTTAAAAGATCTCTTTTCTGATCTTGAATTTTATTCCTTATTTAATTGAACCAAAACAGGAAAGAAACAAAAAAGATATCTATTTATATATTTAAACCCCATAATGATCTTTTTATGGGGACAATACCACGTAGAAGGTGACTTAATTGTAGCGTTCGTGCTATGACCATACTAAATGAACAAGTAAATGTCGAAAGAAAATGTTTTTCTTTCAATATTTTCTTATAATAATCTGATTTATATATTTTTATCAACATTGTCTATTTATTATTCATTCTATCAAATTCACGAGTGTCACTAAAACTTCAATTTGGCTTGCTTATGTTACTGATAATAGGGAATTGATTTTTTTCTGTTTCATGTTTTTTACAGGTTCATGTCGATTCTTACAAATGCGATGAAGGAGAAAAATGTCCCGAAAACTTGCCTTACTGCACACCAGTTGGCTGCGTTTACAGATGTCCCGACCACGTGTTTATCAATGGCACAAGTTGTGTTCGGGACTGTGGCGATCAGTATGTATACAACAGAACATGTGTACCTAGTTGTCCAAAAGAAGCATCGCTTGTTGAAGAGAAGATCGATTTTATAAATTCTAAGTTTAAGAAATTCAAATTTTGTCGAATCCAATGCTTAAACAATACCTTTACGTACAATAACACGTGTATAATTGCGTGTCCTAAGGCGTTTAAATATGTAGAGGATCGAAAGTGTGTCAGTAACTGTACTTTAAATACTTTTCATCAGAAGATTTATGATGTCAACGGAATCCTTGTTGGAATTCAATGCAACAAAAGTTGTTATAACTTTTCCAGTAATCCGTTTCAGCTCTCGAATGAATGTGTATCCAAATGCAAAGAAGACCAAGTTGTCTTTGGCGGCGTATGCCTTGAACAATGTCCTAAAGAGAAGCAGTTAGTGTTAAATTTAGATATGTGTATAAAAATGGGGAAGTGTTTACGGAATTGGCCTGAGCAGAAATATTGCTCAGAAGGATGTCCTAAGAATTATTTCGTTCATAATTCAAGTTGTTTATCAAGATGCCCAGATACAGCAAAGTACTCTCAAGATGGCCAATGTGTGACAACTTGTCCAGAACATAAAATGTTTAAATACTTAAATAATAGTCTAGATGTGACTCAGTGTTTTGAAGCTTGTCCGTACCCTTTGTTTGCATACAATTACACTTGTACTCATGACTGTCCAACAGGATTTAAATCTTTAAAGAGGATGTGCATACCCGAATGTCCGAGGGGAACATTTGTTGAAATATCATTCACTAACGACCAAGAATGTGTATCAGAGTGTAGCAAGAAGTACATCAGTGGTAATGTATGTGTAGATTCCTGTCCGAACGATTCTAAATATATCGCTGATTCTCACTGTTTATCCGAATGTCCAAAATCACATCCTTATACTCATAGAAACTCTAAAAAGTGTTTGATATCATGTCCAGATGATATAAAGACATACATATCGAAACAGGAGTGTGTTACTACATGTCCAAAAGGCACAAATCTTTACGAAAAATCATGTTTAGATGAATGCCCTAAAAACACATTGAAGAAAATGGGGGTGAATTCTGGAGAAGCTATTTGTGTTGATGTGTGTGACAAATTCAAGAACAATGGGACATGCGTTGATTCCTGCCCAGAGTTTTCACTAAATGATACCTGTGTCGACAAATGCCCAAGTGCTCATATGATAGTTTACGGAACGTCTTGCTATACAGCATGTCCAGATAGAACTTGTCTTATGGATAACCGCTTGAATTGCTCTGACAGCTGTATTTTGGACACGGATAGCGGACAATTAGTGTACAAGTGCCCAAAAAGTGCCCCGTACTTTCGGACCAACAATTCGGAAAACCACTGTGTTTCATCATGCGAGGAGAATGAAGTCCTTGAGGACACGAAGTGCATTAATGTAACCGATTGCAAAAGACCTGTCTTGTCGGATGGTAAATGTGCAGACCAATGTCCTGAAGGTTTTTTATATCTACCGAGTGGAACAGAGGACGCCACCATAAGCATCTACGGATATGAATACACTCTTGATAGTATCAAGAATAATCCATGTATAGGAAAAACTAATGCTTATACTACTGTTATAATGTTGGGACTTTTTACTGCCGTGTACTATATATTTGCTGCAATTTTTCTGTTCTCCTCTCAAGTCAAGGAAACTCAGTGTTGGTCGGAATATAACAAAGATCAAAATGAAGAGGTATATTTTTTATTTTATTTTCTCAAATCCACCTGATTAAATGTATAATACAAAAGATTCAATTGGCAAAATGTGTCTCAAAATAATATAACGTTAATTTCTTAAAATCGTTCTGATTATATTTTAAAGCCTGAACTTTAAGTGTTTGCTACATATTTTTTTATTTTTTTATTCCAAACTAGTCATAGTCACTTACATTCGGGCATCAGACCTTATAATAATGGGATTTTACTTCTAGTATTGGTTGGACAAGAATGATTTCAGTGTCTGCAATCTTTACTGTAGTAAGAACTAGAACTGCCACTATCATGGCGTGAATACCCCCGCATACCACTTTGTCAGAATCAACAGTGGCCATTTAGAGCTCAAGGACAACCTCTCTGCCAAATCTGAGGTTACTAAGCCAGTGCATTGCTATGTTATGTATTCTACATGCTTCAAATGTGAAAATGTCAAAATCAATACATTGCGGACAGGACATTCTTTAGCAATTGAGAAGAAAAGCTTTTTTTTGTCAAGGTCCCTGTGACTTTGACCTTTGACCCAGTGACCTCAAAATCAATAGGGGTCACCTTATAGCCATGATCAACATCCATGCCAAATATGAAGACTGTGGGTCAAAGGAATCTTAAGTTAATGGGTGGACAAACTTTTTGAAGTCAAAGTCCCTATGACCTTGACCTTTGATCCTGTGACCTCAAAATCATTAGGGATCATCTACTAATCATGATCAACATCCATGCCAAATATGAAGACTGTGGGTCAAAGGAATCTAAAGTAACTGGGCAGACAAACTTTTTGAAGTCAAAGTCCCTGTGACCTTGACCTTTGACCTGGTGACCTCAAAATCAATAGGGGTCATCTACTAATCATGACTATCTCCATGCCAAATATGAAGACTGTGGGTCAAAGGAATCTTAAGTTATAGGGCGGACAAGCTTTTTGAAGTCAAGGCCCCTGTGACCTTGACCTTTGACCTGGTGACCTCAAAGTCAAAAGGGGTCATCTACTTATCATGACTAGCCTCCATGCCAAATATGAAGACTGTGGGTCAAAGGAATCTTAAGTTATAGGGCGGACAAGCTTTTTGAAGTCAAGGCCCCTGTGACCTTGACCTTTGACCTGGTGACCTCAAAATCAATAGGGGTCATTTACTAATCATGACTTACCTCCATGCCAAATATGAAGACTGTGGGTCAAAGGAATCTTAAGTTATTGGGCGGACAATCTTTTTGACGTCAAGGCCCCTGTGACCTTGACCTTTGACCTAGTGACCTCAAAATCAATAGGGGTCATCTACTAATCATGACTAACCTCCATGCCAAATATGACGACTGTAGGTCAAAGGAATCTTACGTTATTGGGCGGACACGCTTTTTGAAGTCAAGGCCCCTGTGACCTTGACCTAGTGACCTCAAAATCAATAGGGGTCATCTACTTCTCATGACTAACCTCCATGCCAAATATGAAGACTGTGGGTCAAAGGAATCTTTAGTTATAGGCGGACAAGCTTTTTGAAGTCAAGGCCCCTGTGACCTTGACCTTTGACCTGGTGACCTCAAAGTCAAAAGAGGTCATCTACTTATCATGACTAGCCTCCATGCCAAATATGAAGACTGTGGGTCAAAGGAATCTTAAGTTATTGGGCGGACAAGCTTTTTGAAGTCAAGGCCCCTGTGACCTTGACCTTTGACCTGGTGACCTCACAGTCAAAAGGGGTCATCTACTTATCATGACTAGCCTCCATGCCAATTATGAAGACTGTGGGTCAAAGGAATCTTAAGTTATTGGGCGGACAGGCTTTTTGAAGTCAAGGCCCCTGTGACCTTGACCTTTGACCTGGTGACCTCAAAGTCAATAGGGGTCATCTACTAATCATGACTTACCTCCATGCCAAATATGAAGACTGTGGGTCAAAGGAGTCTTTAGTTATTGGGCGGACAAGCTTTTTGAAGTCAAGGCCCCTGTGACCTGACTTTGACCTAGTGACCTCAAAATCAATAGGGGTCATCTACTTATCATGACTAACCTCCATGCCAAATATGAAGACTGTGGGTCAAAGGAATCTTAAGTTATAGGGCGGACAAGCTTTTTGAAGTCAAGGCCCTGTGACCTTGACCTTTGACCTGGTGACCTCAAAGTCAAAAGGGGTCATCTACTTATCATGACTAGCCTCCATGCCAATTATGAAAGAATGTGGGTCAAAGGAAATCTTAAGTTATTGGGCGGACAAGCTTTTTGAAGTCAAGGCCCCTGTGACCTTGACCTTGACCTGGTGACCTCAAAGTCAATAGGGGTCATCTACTAATCATGACTTACCTCCATGCCAAATATGAAGACTGTGGGTCAAAGGAATCTTAAGTTATGGGCGGACAAGCTTTTTTACGTCAAGGCCCCTGTGACCTTGACCTTTGACCTAGTGACCTCAAAATCAATAGGGGTCATCTACTACTCATGACTAACCTCCATGCCAAATATGACGACTGTAGGTCAAAGGAATCTTACGTTATTGGGCGGACAAGCTTTTTGATGTCAAGGCCCCTGTGACCTTGACCTTTGACCTAGTGACCTCAAAATCATAGGGGTCATCTACTAATCATGACTAACCTCCATGCCAAATATGAAGACTGTGGGTCAAAGGAATCTTAAGTTATAGGGCGGACAAGCTTTTTGAAGTCAAGGCCCTTGTGACCTTGACCTTTGACCTGGTGACCTCAAAGTCAAAAGGGGTCATCTACTTATCATGACTAGCCTCCATGCCAAATATGAAGACTGTGGGTGAAAGGAATCTTAAGTTGTTGGGCGGACAAGCTTTTTGAAGTCAAGGCCCCTGTGACCTTGACCTTTGACCTGGTGACCTCAAAGTCAAAAGGGGTTATCTACTTATCATGACTAGCCGCCATGCCAAATATAAAGACTGTGGGTGAAAGGAATCTTAAGTTATTGGGCGGACAAGCTTTTGAAGTCAATGCCCCTGTGACCTTGACCTTTGACCTGGTGACCTCAAAATCAATAGGGGTCATCTACTAATCATGACTTACCTCCATGCCAAATATGAAGACTGTGGGTCAAAGGAATCTTAAGTTATTGGGCGGACAAGCTTTTTGAAGTCAAGGCCCCTGCGACCTTGACCTTTGACCTGGTGACCTCAAAATCAATAGGGGTCATCTACTTATCATGACTAGCCTCCATGCCAAATATGACGACTGTAGGTCAAAGGAATCTTACGTAATTGGGCGGACAAGCTTTTTGAAGTCAAGGCCCCTGTGACCTTGACCTTTGACCTAGTGAACTCAAAATCTATAGGGTCATCTACTACTCATGACTAACCTCCATGCCAAATACGAAGACTTAGGGTCAAAGGAATCTTAAGTTATTGGGCGGACAAGAAAAAAACGACGGACGGCCGGACGGACAAGCTGATTCCAGTATACCCCCCTTACAACTTTGTTGTGCGGGGGTATAAATTAACTATTTACTATGCTCACCAATGAGTAATATATTTTAATCACAAAAACTTATTCAAATCTATGACATTCTTACTGAATATATGAAATTTGAATATAAGAATGAATTAAAAATGTATTGTAAGCTGCCAATTGCATAACAAGAAAAGTCTGTCCTTTCTTAAAATAACTGCCAGTTTTTTAACGACACCATATATTCATAATGTGACCACCTATAGAGTGTAGAGTTTTAACATAACATATCTATTTCGTGTAAAGTCAGAACATGTTTATTTTATATTTACAAAGAGACTATGTAGCAATTATCAATATTTTCTAATATCAAAGTTGAGCATAGTATATATTTCATGGTATATGGGTCTTTTTTAAATTTGTATGAAAATGTCTTTAAATTTTATTATACGAAAATAGATATATTATTTTTATGACATGAAAATAGATATATCATTTGTATTTGAATGTTATATTTTTATTTCGAGCAGAGTTGACCTTGAAGGATTACGGTTTATCTGCGGTCAATTTGGATTTCTACAATTCACTTACAACAATAACACAGAGTAATTAAATCGCCACAATAAATTGAATGACGTCTGCTTGACTTTTTACATTCAACAAAACCTTCAAATACTACCATGCACCAAACTATAATAATCCAAACTATAATCTTTTACTAAATCATAAATAGTTACATGCACATTAAATTATATTGTCTTAAGCCATTTTTATTCGACAAAATATTCAAATAATAATATGCACATCAAACTATACTGTTCTCAACTGAATAATTAAACAAAAGATGTCAAACGACACAGATGCCCCCCTTTCTAACCCTTGACTTACATAATTGGTAATTTTGTTATAGAAACTTGCCATCATTGGGTACATATGGAAGTGTTCAATTATGGTAAAAAGAAAAATAACAAAGACTTTGTGTTAAATAGTTTCAGAGATCATGTGCGGAAACCATACTGACATTTGAGGTCCCCATGACCTTGGCCTTTGAACTAGTGACCCAAAGTCAATAGGGGTCATCTTATAATTATGACTAATCAATATTAGAAATATGAAGACTTTGTGATAAATTGCTTTCAAGATAATGAGCGGAAACCACACTTACATTGAAGAACCCTGTGACCTTGACCTTTGACCTAGTGACGCCAAAATCAATAGGGGTCACTTACTAGCTGTGACCAATCAGAATGTGAAATATGAAGACTTTGTGATAAATTTGTTTTTAAGATAATAAGCGAAAACCATTCTGACATTTACGGCCTCTGTGACCTTTACCCCCAAAATCAACAGGGGTCAGCTTCTAGTTATGACCAATCATTATTTGCAATATGAAGACTTTGTGATAAATAGTTTCCAAGATAATAAGCGGAAACCATGTGGTCTATCGACAGGCAGACCGACCAGACAGGCAGACCGACCGACAGACATCTTTGAAATTTATTTACTGACTTAGTTTCACCGTCATTTCCCAGAAGATATTCATAATGTAAAATTTAAATCCCAAAAATAGGAAAGGCAGAGTTACGGTCCTTTTGTACTGCATATATACGCAATGTGATCTATCTATCTACCCTCAAAGTTGATATCTCTTATAGTTTCAGAGTTATGTCCCTGACAAAGTTCAAAGTGAAAAAATGAACACAGGGCAATAACGCCAAAATTAGTCAAGGCAAAGTCCGAGTTTTTTACTGCTCATCTACCCAATGAGATATGATTACCTACAAGTTTCTTGTTAATATCTCTTATAGTGTCTTTTGTCCCGGACAAAGTTCAAAGTGTAAAAATTAACAAAGGGCAATAACAACAACATTAGGCAAGGAAGAGTTATGGTTATTTTGCAATTCACATCTACCCAATGAGATTTATCTACCTACAAAGTGTCTTGTTCTTATCTATTATACTTTGAGACAAATGACCTGGACATTGTTCAAAGAGTAAAAATGAATGAAATCTATCTGCCTAAAAGTTTCTTGTAGATACTTCTTAAGCTTTTAGAGCTATGTCCTGGACAAAGTTCAAAGGGTAAAAATAAACAAAGGGCAATAACTCCAAGATAAGGCAATGCAGTGTTACGTTTCTTATGTACTGCACATTGCCCAATGAGATAGATCTACCCACAAAGTTTCATGTTGATACCTCTTGTTGTTTCAGAGAAATGTCCCGGACAAGAAATGCAGACGGACGGACAAGGCGGCCATTATATATACTCATCGTTTGGGGAGCATGATTACATGCACATCATGCTACTAAATCTTCAAATAAATACATGCCAATCACACAATACTGTCCTCAATTAAATATTAAACTATATCAAAATATATTAAAAAATATGTTTGCATGTATATCACACTAAACTGTTTCAAATAATATTGTGCACAACAGTATTTACTATCTACAGCTAAATACTAGTATTTAGATAAAAACATGCACAACAAGCTACACTGTCTTCTATTGTCAACTCTTCCAATAATCACATGCACATCTCACAACACTGTCTTCAACTAAATATTTAGATAATTACACGAACACACCACACTTTCGACTTAGTATAAAAAAATATGTAAACCAAACCGGAATAATATTTTACTGTCATTTACAAAGTGATATTAGCATGTTTATAAGCTTATTCTTTTTGATATTTATTGGAAAGTCAAATGTCTGAAGCATGATAAATGCAAAATATATAGCTTATGTTTTCAAATGTGCTTCAAGCAGTAACAATGTTCATACTTTCAAATGTTATTTTTTAGCTGGACAATAGAACTGTGTATGCAAATTTGGTTCAAGATGAAGATACAGCAGGGAAGAGCTTGCAACATGAAGATCGTATAAATGAAGATCGTCTTATTGAAGATCGTCTAACTGAAGTGTGCCTAAATAATGAACGTCCTAATGAAGATCGACGAATTGAAAATCAAGTAAACGAAGCGTGTCTAGATGATGATCATCTAAATGATGTACCTATGTTGAGTTTAGCTGTAGAAAATAATGACAAAACATTTGAACATGTCTGCATGGTAGATATTCATAGAGGTAACGACGACTGTGATGATGTGCCATTGCTAGATACTAAATGATATTAAAAAGTACAGTTTGTTTATCCCACCAACCCAAAAAATATACATAAATGTGAATATTCAGAATTCGGGAAAACATTTAAAATGTTTGCCGCATGAGTAACAAAATAATATTTATGGAGTACGGCTCCTTTCATGCTCTAGGTTAGGCACACGCCTCTACTCACGCTCTAGGTTAGGCACACGCCTCCAGTCAAGCTCTTGGTTAGGCACACGCCTTCACATACGCTCTAGATTAGGCACACGCCTTCACTCATGCTCTAGGTTAGGCACTCCCCTCCACAAACGCTCTAGGTTAGACACACGCCTCCACAAATTCTCTACGTTAGGCACTCGCCTCTACGAACGCTCTAGGTGATAAAACTTATAAAATATGCAACTTGATCATGTTACAACATGTACCAAATTGAAATTGCATGTATTTCAAACTATCAATAGGATACCCTTATAACTGTATTATCAAATTGTTAAACTGAAATCAATTTCAATTTTTATGTCATTTCTAGACCTTATATCTACTTGAAACGTATTTGTTTTTAATCTTAATCGCTGTTTAGATGAAGGAGGGAAAATAATCCGTTTCATGATGAAACGGTCCATTTCAACGCTGAATTCGCTTACTGGGAAACACCGCCACAACTACAATTCAAACACAATTAAAACAACTTAACTTTTTCTAGAAACGTAAATCAAAACTACATGGTATAACATGCACCGAAGATATCTGATGTAGAGTTAACAAAATATAGACATGCACTAGCTCGGAAGTAGCGATATACCGATTTACCGTATACCTCCGAAAGAGGAAACTCTATCACTTACCAGACATGTTAATGCTCACACTTCTGTTTCAGTGTTAGAAATGAAGATATTGTTTATATTGTAACATTCGAAACTTATTTGTTTTTACAATGATACATATTAAATAAATTATAAAATTAAAAAGATGCTTTTAAATATGTATCATGCTTTACTACCATAGTGTATCTAATCGCATCGTGCTATAAGCACAAGTGATGACAGATTGGCTATGTGATGACAGAGATCTAAATTTCTAGATATTTGGATTGCGTGACCCTTAGTGGTCTAAGCATAAACTCATTTATTTCAAATTTGAAATATTATGAACCCAAAAAAATCAATATTAATTGGTGAAAACTTTCCATTCCATAAGTGAAAGAAAAAAAGAACTTTTTTTAATTGCAATGCGGCAGGCTTTGATTAAACGCGAACATACTGAAGAAGTGATGCTTGATAAAGGTCACTCCGTCGATGTTGCCAAAAACAATGTAAGAAAAGATACAGTGATCTTCGAACTGACAGGCCTCCAGTAACTGGCGCGTACAAGACGTCGTTCCGTGCGATGTCAAACACGAGACAACATTTTGGGGCAAACTGTATTAATGCCAAAATCAAATGACGTTAAAAAACATGATTTTTAAATCATATATACAGTCCATTTGAATCCATGCACTATTAAAATTTACACCCTTTCACGTTTATTCGGTGCACACGTTTCTGGAGAATTTTTTTTTAAATATGTCGTTTGAAGGCAAATTAACAAAGCTAAAACAATGAACTTCAGATGAAAACAAATTTGACTATTAATCATAAACTCCATGCGATTTCATTTTGTGTACGAGTATATATCATGATGTGGAAAAAGGAAAGGGACATAATTTTGGCAAAATGATAAAATCGATAACCCACCACACTTGCTGCAACAGCGCACTTGGTAACAATACGTCTGTGAATGTTTGATTAAACGTCATCAAGAAATGTACGCGTTGCAACCGAACATTTGTTTACGCAGAGCCGCTGTCGCCCTCCCAACGACATTTACCAATCATAACCACTCTACTTTCTTTTAAAAAATCATGTTAAACAAGAGCATGCCACAGGCAATGCAGCAGTCCCCTACCGGAATATCGTTCCCTAAATTCAACAATAACAGACATACATATGAAAAAACAGTGACACGTACTTACCAGAAGTAGGATCAACCTAGCGTTTGTACTTGTCAAGTTTTCATGGCAGAATTTTAGCCTTTTTCGGATAGAAGGAATGACAGACGGACGAACAGATAAAAAAATATGTGCCTTATTTCCAAAACATCTTTTTTCCACATACAAATTATCATTAACCTAGCTTTTATACTTTTTCATTAATGACAATCAAGATGTCTTTGGACTGACAGAGACAAACGGATTGGCAAACGAAAAAAATATGGCGTTAAAAATCTCTCATATCAAACTTGTCCCTATCATAAACCTAGCTTTTGTACTCTTTGACACAGAACGCTTTGTTCAGTCAATTTTCATTGTTTTCCATACTTTCATAACAAAAAGTGGAAATGATGCCAGAAAGGCAATATCGCTCATCTGAGAGGCCTTGGCAAAGCACATTTTCTTAATATGACCTATCTTCCTACAAAGTTTCAAATTTATATATTTTATAGTTTTCGAGTTATGTCCCAGACAAAGTTCAAAATGTGTAAATGGACATAGGGCCAAAACTCCAAAATTAAGCAAGGCAGAGTTACTGTTCTTCTGCACTGCACTTCTACCAAATGAGATCTATCTACATACAAAGTTTTATGATAATATCACTTATAGTTTTAGAGTTATGTCCAGGACAAATTCAAAGTTAAAAAAATGAACAAAGGGCAATAACTCTAAAATTTTGGCAAAGCAGAGTTACGGTTCTTGTGCACTTGAAATTAATAAGGTTTATCTACAAACAAAGTTTCATGTTGATAGCTCTTCTAGTTTTGAAGGTTATGTCCCGAACATGTTCGAAATGATAAATGAACAAAGGCCAATGACACAACAAGAAATGTCGAAATACACCTATGCCCCCCCCCCCTTTCATTGGTAATTTTGTTATAGAAACTTGCCATATATGGAAGTATTCATTTATGGAAAAAAGAAAAATAATGAAGACATTTTGATAAATAGTTTTCAAGATAACTGATATTCATACATTTAAGGAACCTGCGACATAGACCGTTGAACTAGTGACCCAAAATCAATAGGGGTCATCTAATAGTTATGACCAATCAATATTAGAAATATGAAGACTGTGATAATTATCTTTCAAGATAATGAGCTGAAATCATACTTCTATTAAAAGACCCTATGACCTTGACATTTGACCAGGTGACGCCAAAATCAATAGGGGTCTTCAACTAGTTTTGACCATCAATATGTGAAATATGAACACTTTATGATAAATAGTAACCAAGACAATTAGCTGAAATCATATAACCATTCAAAGCCCCTGTGACCTTGACCTTTGACCGAGTGATCCCAAAATCAATTGGTGTCATCTACTAGTTATGACGACTCAATATGTGAAATATGAAGACTTTGTGATAAATAGTAACTAAGATAATAAGCGGAAATCATATTACCATTCAAGGCCTCTGTGGCCTTAACCTGTAACCTGAAGTCAATAAAGGTCATCCACTAGTTATGTCAAATCAATATGTAAAATATGAAGACTTTCTCATGAATACTTTTCAAGATAATCTGCGGAAACCATTCTGACATTTAAGGCCCCTTTGACCTTGACCTTTAACGTAATGACCCTACAGTCAATAGGGGTCATCTACTAGTTATGACCAATCACTATGTGAAATATGACGACTTTGCAATGAATACTTTTCAAAAGAATCAGCGGAAACCATTTTGACATTCAAGGTCACTCTGACCTTGACCTTTTACCTAGTGACCCTAAAATCTATAAGGGTCATCTACTAGTTATGACCAATCACTATTTGAAATATTAGGATTTTGGTTTTCAAGATAATCAGCAGAAAACATGTGTCTACCGACGGACAGACCGACAGACCAACATTAGCAAAACAAATTCCCCCTTTTCTTCTTGCCTTAACAGAAGTATGGATCTTTTGCACTGCACTTCTACCTAATGAGATTCATCTACCTACAAAGTTTCATAATGATTTCTCTTATAGTATTAAGAGTTTTGTCCCGGACATTTAATAAGTTCAAAGTGTAAAAATGAACAAAGCGCAATTACTCCAAAATCTGGAATGGCAGAAGTTATGTTTCTTGTGCACTGCGAGTCGTCCCAATGAGATATTTCTACCTACAAAGTTTTTTGTTGATACCTCTTATAGTTACAAATTTATGTCCCGAACAAAAAGCGGATGGACAAAGTGGCGACAATATGGTCACCCTTGGGCAGCATAAAAAAGGGCTCAGAAATTTTACTCCAGGGCCATACTTGAAGAAATTTACTTGACAAAGTTTCATGCCAAATACCTAAGATAAAGGCTGTGAAAATGAGGAGAGAGGTTTTTTACGGACAGCGTATACATGTTAGAAAAAACCTATGACCCCCTTGGAATTGGTCAAATATTATCAAATATAATTTGAATAAACTTGGTCAACAGACAATAGTTCATGTTCAAGTCTTCGTGGATTCAGAGGAGATAATTTTTACCATGGGATGGGGGAATTTTTATTTTCAGGGCAATTATTTCAACAAACCTTGTAAAGACCAAATATCCCATGTTTCATACCAAATTTCTAAGCTCTAGCTCTTGTAATTGTGTAAAAGATGATTTTTTAATTTTTGTTCTGCATGGAAAAGAAATTTGTGTACAATTTTGAAAAAGAAAAACTCCATCCTAGGAGAAATCATATGCTTATAGTTTCAACAAAATTGGCCCAACAGCTTAGGAGTACATGTTGTTTGAAAGAAAAATTGCTGATGCATATAGAACAACAGACAAGACTCAATCACAATAGCTCATCTGAGCACACATAGTTAACCTTGAGAACCTTGTCCTCATGTGAGCTACAAAATGACCTGCATTTTAAATGCCAATATCGCTCTCTTTCCAAATACCAAGTATCATCAACATAGCTTTGCACGTTTTCTATTACGGCTACATCTAGTTCCTAAGGATGGACGAGCAAATAAATCTGTACTTATCCCTACGGTAAAACAGTTAGGGACTAAATACAACAATAAGTGTATTAACAAGTGTTTTACTTTTAATGAATCACATTTTTGAGCACAACACCAGTGAATGTATAAAAATATAATTATATCTATAGCTTCAAAATTAACAGTAAATGTAGTTATAAAATGTGGTGCATGTTCAATTCTTTAAACAAACAATTTGTTTTCAAAACAACTATCTATATGAAAACTTGCATTATATAAAAATTACTATAAAAATGTATTGCTAAGGATAACTAGATATTGAAAATATTGAAGTATCAGAAACTAAAATTAAATTAACGCATCATCAAAAATCAGTGTATAACATCATCTGATACCTCCACATAACAATTTCATTTAACTTTGCAATGTTGACCTGCAAAACAAACAGTTAACAAAAAATGATGGGAGATGGAGGCGGGAATAAACTCATTTTATACCAGAGTTATAGAAAAAAAAAACATTAATAGGCCTTTAAAGGGATTTCATTATAAAATACATTAAATTGAGCAACTGACTGGGTAGAACCTTGAAGTGCAGACTTTGCTCTCTCTATACTTATGACAATGGATAATCAATTCCTGTTCTAGTATGGTAAAAGGTAAAAGTTAACTGAACAAAATATAAACCTGAAATCTGCATGCAGCTGTCTATATTATTATGCTAATAAAGAAGAAATATAATTATATCAGTCATTATCTATGGAGCTGTAGACATCAAAATCTCTCATTTCTGTGAAGGCCGAGTCAGTGGAGATCATAGAGGTCTCTCTTGTATTGTGGTCTCTCAAGTTCCGCAAACAGTAACTGTCATCAGGATAGTCAATCTGTAATAGAACACTGCAAATATAACACAATATATAGATCCCTGACCTGTCTAATTTTAATTATCAGATTACTACAGTTGACACAATGACAATTTCACCACAACAAATTTGTGAACAAAAGAGCACATGTCAATGTTTGCGGATAAATTTATTGTTATTTAAATACTATGTGAAATATGAAGACTTAGTGATAAATAATAGCTTTCAAGCTAATATATTATAAGCGGCAAACATAATAACATTCAAGGCCTGTGTAACCTTGACCTTTGAGCTAGTGACCCAAAATCAAAAAGGGTAACCTAGTAGTTATGACCAATCAGCATGTGAAATATGAAGATTTTGTGATAAATAGTTTTCAAAATATTTAGCAAAAACCATTCCGACATTTGCCCGGTGACCTTGACCTTTGAAGTAGTGACCTAAATATTAATAAGGGTTATCTACTAGTTATGACAAATCACTATGTGAAATATAAAGACTTTGTTATAACAAGCTTTCAAGATAATAAGCTGAAACCATACTACCATTTAATGTCCCTGTGACATTTGACCTAGAGACCCTAAAATCAATAGGGGTCATTTACTAGTTATGACCAATCAGTATATGAAATATGAAGACTGTGATAAATAATAATCATGATAATGAGCGGAAGCCATTCTGACATTGACCCAGCGACCCCAAAATCAATAGGGGTAATAAAATATAAAGACTTTGTGATAAATAGATTTCAAGATCATCAGCGGAAACCATTCTGACATTTAGGGCCCCTGTGACCTTGACCTTTGACCTAGTCAGTAGTGACCCCAAAATCAATAAGGGTCATTTATTACTTATGATCAATCATTATGTGAAATATACACGTCTAAATGGATTTGTTTCGATTTTCATTTATAAACGTTTACAATATTTTTTACCGTTCCATAATTATTGTCTTACAAAATATCTTAATCATTAACTGTAATCAATAATTTTATCAATTCTAATCAGGTTTATTCCAAAGTAAAAACTGAAAATGGGTGTTTACAACACAGCATCATCGTGCAATAATCGCCTTGTGGCATGATACATTCTTGGTAAAGTTGATTTGCCTTTGATCTTTCAATAAAACGAAATTGGGATACAATGCCGACACAATCGTCATGAGCCCTGAACATTATTTATTTAAACATGTATGAAAATAGAAAGCATGTCATCATTTGGCGACTCAAATATAGTATAGTAAATAGAAGTTACACCTTTTGAACGTGGTCGTTTCGGTTCTAAATGTAAACGTGGGAGCCTTTATGTGAAATATGAAGACTTTTGGATAAATAATTTTCAAGGTATTCAGCAAAAACCATGTGGTTTACCGATGTACTGACCAACAGACCGACCTACCGATCGACATTAGCAGGATAATTTCTTCAAAGAGGGGCTTAAAAATTACTTTAAATCACTGAAAAGCATGAAAGAGAAAAAAAATTGTTTGTTTTTGCATGAAAGATTGAAATATATTTCACTTTATAATACCAGCTATTATATTTTCACTTGCGGCTACGTCACTTGTTAAAATATTGCATCTGGTGTCAACTCGGTGAAATATATTTCGATATTAAATGCAAAACAAAAAATATCCTTTATATAATCTGCAATCAAGTCAGCATTGACGGAGCCAAAGCTTACAATGCTAATTGTAATACTGCACCTTTGCAACGCCCCTTTTCATTGGATAATTTTGACATTTAAATAATTTATAGAGTACATTGTATATACAAAGCTACTGTTAATTTGTTAATTCCACTGTTTTCTAAAATAAAAAAGTTTGCTGTAATTTCTAAATTTGATATATTGAAGATTCTTGACAATTTATATGACCATTTCTAAACAGTTATTTGCAATATAACCCCTGCTTAGCGAACAAATATTCATGTCAAGTATGACCTGTCAAAATTATCTTTCTTGCATAATAAGACTGTGTTTCTATTGGTGGAAATTTCATCTGGTGTGTGCCAGATGAGCCGCTATATAATAGAATGCTGAGGATGACGAAATTTAGCTGTTATGAATAAAGTTGTAATTTTATACACTGATACCCTGTGTTGTAAGAAAATAGTGTAATGAAATAAATTTCCATGGAATATTGTTTGATTAAAAACATGATGGAAAATGTTAGAATATGCAAGAAAAGATTCTTGCATATCTGACATGTTTCTGTTTGGATCCGCATTATGATCCTTCCCTCGGGATTCCGTCCTTGGGCAGTAACTTCTTGGGATGGATATTCCGATCTGAACCGCAACATATGAAAAATATTAGTATTATTACTAATTAATAGTTTAACCAAGAAAGTAATAAATCACTTACATCGTCATACTGCCTGAAGTGAGGATCAGACATAGAGGAGGTGGAATCAGACACCAATCCCTCTGAATCTTCAGAGTGCCTTGCCTTCATGTACTGTATGAACTTGCACATCCAATTTTGCTTCCGTCTATCAAAACAGGAAAGAAATTTAGTTACTTAAGCATCTGGTTTAAAATATTCTCCGACAAATATATTGTTTTAATCACCATGCCAAGAATTCATTCCACAATTTTGGTTAATGAAACCCTGGGGGGTTTGGAGGGGGACTGGTTAAGGTTGTTGACTTCAAACTTCCTACCCCTCACTGCTGTAGGCTGGTTCAAAACCAGTTTGCTAAAGAAACGGGACAGGGTCAGGTTCTACTCCAACAAAATATGAAAGACATCTATCAATAAATATGGACCGTATGAGCAAAAGTTTAAAATCTATTTTTAGCAATGGTGAACTTGACCCTACTGACCCCTAACTCCATTCAAAGGTAGAAGACTTCTTAATTCACATTCCTACCAAACATTAGACATCTGTCAATAGAAAAATGTAACACCTGTTAAAGTGTTAAAATCTATTTTTGGCTTTGGTGACCTTGACCCAAATGACTCTTTACTAAACAGGCAAGAAGAGAACTTCCTTAGGCATGTCCTTATTTAACATGATACATTAATTTAAAAATAAACACTGTATAAGCAATAGTGTACTTGACCCACTGACCCCTTAGTCCACAAAAAGTTAGAGGACTAATAAATTTGAAGGTATGCGCCCATAAAATATTAAAAGTATTATTAAATAAATGAGTAATTAAGAGAAATTTAAGATACATCCAACTTGCCAGAATAGAGCAACCATAAAAAGGCCCTAATTTTAAAGTGGTAAAACTAGGAATAATGAATCGCAAAGTTATATAACTTGGCAATATCATATGACTCTGAAATATCATGTATTTGTATTTATAAGTAAGAGTATATACATTATGAGAGTTTGATTTTTCGGAGATTTGTCGGAGAAGAGCCGGAGCCGGGAGCCGAGAAGTGACGTCATTAATCCGAGATAAGTAGATAATCCTAATCCCCAGAGACAATGGTTCTTTTGAAATTGAGACAAGATTATGATATAATTAATCCGAATTAATCCGAGATAAGAAGATAATTCTAATCTCCTCAGACAATGGTTCTTTTGAAACTTAATGATAATGCTAATCACCCGAGACAATGGTTCTTTTGAAAATGAATGATAATGCTAATCACCTGGGACAATGGTTCTTTTGTTGAAATTTGATGACATCATCATTAATGATAATGCTAATCACCTGGGACAATGGTTCTTTTGTTGAAAATTGGTGACATCATCATTAATGATTACAATGAAGCGCAATGAATGAATGTAATGTCAATAGTGTATTGAGAAATTAAACAATTAGATTGCATATTGATTAAGCTTCACTTCAACAAGTGCGTGCCTATTTTAAGAGCAAGCAAGCATATAGAAAGAGTGTCCCAACGAAGTAATAAAATAAATAACATATAGGTTTGTGATGAACAGCAGAAATATCATCGCGTGGAAACTAATGTTAGCAATACCTCGGGTAAACGTATTCCCCTCGGGATGATACTGTTACTCACAAACCTCTGTTTTATTGAACATTTGAATCGGCATCCATTTTAATGAAACTGACAAAATTTGATATGAAAAAAAATTTAATAGCTGCTATACTGTTCACTTGGTCGGTTTGTATGTACAAAATAATCAACAAATAAATAATATACATTTTACTTTTATTTCTCACATAACAATATAACCTGGCTGTTAAAGCTTCCGAGGGATCGCCTTTTCTCCAGATCTTTATACATCACAACAGCAGGTACAAAGTGCCATGTGGCAGCTGTAAAATGTTCACTTCAGTGATGCTATATTTTTTTTAGGTTCTTCTGGATCCTTGAAAGCTTAAAACAAATTGAGTACCGCCCGCTTGTTTCAGGGTGCGTGAGGATAGATAGATACTTTTATTTCCTCCAATATTGAAGAGCATTACATATTTACAGAGGTGAACATAGACATATACAGAAACAAGTATAATACATATTAACAAAATAGTATATCCAATTTAACATCGTTCATATAGTACGAAGAAATGCATTAGAAATGTTTTACATTAACTACATACATTATATCAGATGTAGAAAACAAATATAACAAAATAAATCTTAACTTACAATTTGTCTCATGAGGTGTTATTTTGTCTTAACATATTAACTAGTATACCTATCAAGGATCGTATATAGCTCAAGGGGTAAGTATCAAATGTACAAACAGTTATCAAGGTATCATATATTACTCAGGAGGTAAGTATCAAATGTACAGACAAATATTAACTAGTATACTGTACAGACAAATATAAACTAGTATACTTATTAAGGTATCATATATAGCTCAAGAGGTAAGTATCAAATATACAGACAAACATTAACTAGTATACTAACCATGTTATCATATATATCTCAAGAGGTAAGTATCAAATGTACAGAAAAAAATTAACTAGTATACTTTTCAAGGTATCATGTATTGCTCTGGAGGTAAGTATCAAATGTACAGACAAATATTAACTAGTATACTTATCAAGGTATCATGTATTGCTCTGGAGGTAAGTATCAAATGTACAGACAAATATTAACTAGTATACTGTACAGACAAATATTAACTAGTATACTTATCAAGTTATCATACATTGCTCAAGAGGTAAGTATCAAATATACAGACAAACATTAACTAGTATACTTATCAATGTATCATATATAGCTCAAGAGGTAAGTATCAAATGTACAGACAAGTCTGTACACACAGATATTAACTAGTATAGTTATCAAGGTATCATATAAAGCTCAAGGGGTAAGTATCAAATGTACAGACAAGTCTGTACACACAAATATTAACTAGTATAGTTATCAAGGTATCATATATAGCTCAAGAGGTAAGTATCAAATGTACAAACAAATATTAGAGAAAAAAGAAAGTCACTATTATCAGATATACAGGTTGCGTTATGTGGATTACAATATAGTTTGAATGTAATAGCATAAATGTTGCACTTTTTCATTTTCCCTCATGTACATACTCAATCAAACTGAGTCTTGAATGTTCATGTAAATTAGTTGTGATTTATTCTTCTGAGGGATCACCCTTTCTAGTAAGCATGTAAGCATTCAGTTCATTATTCATAGCATATGATTCAATACATTCACGCATAGGAAAGGTTTCCAATAATGACAAAATAAAAATTATAATAATTAATAATATAATAATTATTTTGTAAGTCCTCATTAGTGAATTTTATAAAAACCGTTTTATTGTGACTATGATATCCGACCAAATGCGAAATGACAATAAGAGCTGTATTATAACACTCGGTCACTGTTTAGCGGATATTAGTTTTTTTAAAACAATGTTATATACAATGTTACAAATTTATGCAGTTCTTAAATCAGAAACAAGACTAGCTACTTAGCATAATGAAACAGTATTTATAGTCAAAATCATACTGTAATTGATAATTTAGAACTTTAAAGAATGTCAAAAATATATGGCGTAAAACCAACTACACTTACTCTGATTCTTTATATTAGTTCTATATTACTTTATCATATTTTTTGCTTGACCGTTAACAAATCAGTTCTTGGTATGTCACTGCCAAGTTTTAGGCTTTGTAATAAATACAAACGTAATAGTGTATTATCTGTGTGCTACACAATCACTATATCTTTTCCGTCCCTTTCGTTTCTGCGTAAGTATCGTTTAAACTGCTAGATTTTATCTAAATATATCAATTGTTATTGTATCTTAATAGCTCATTTGTATCTCGGTGTAAAACTGTCGATTTTTCTCACGTAATCGAGAATCTTCTTCTCATCATTCTTCTCCTTTTTTGAATACCTAGCGGGCTGTTCACATGTGGACTCGAAAAAGATATAACATTATTACATGGCCTCGGTGATACAATTGTTCATGTCTGTACACTGACTTGTAGCAGGTTACATTTACATATATACTCTACTTATATAACTTTATACGAATATTGCTTATTTTCTAAATACGTTCTCTTTTCCATGTAAATTTTTATATGAATTTATTAAACTGATGATTAAATGTTATGTTTTATGGTTCCTTTAAAGTTCTTTGATGTACTACGCAAATGTTCAACAAAAGACATGCTAAGAGAAAACGGAATTCACTTTCAATGATTCAGTGAAAGTGAATACAAAATGCGAAGTTCTCTATGTAATCAAAATGTGTCTTTCTAGCATTATTTGTTGTGAAAAGGAACTTAAAATAAAGTAAAAAATTGTACACATGAAATATGTATCCATAAAGATATCGTCTAATTCGTATTCTTTATGAAGTTATCTATATGCAATTAATCTGTATGTTTAAACCCCGATACATCTATATGAAGTGTTCAGTAGCAAAATCTCAGTTACACCTGCATGTCAGTATGCCACTGTAAAAGCGTGCGTCTGACTGTTTAAGCTACAGTGTATGAAAATCTTCAACGATAGCGCGGTAAGCTAAAAAAATTATACTCAACCGCGAATTAGACTTATTTAACTACAATCAATATCTGAATGTCGTATTGTTTTGTAATTGTATTGCAGTTGTATTCTATTGTGTCACGTTTACTGTCATTGTCTATCTAACAATGTACCTCCTCTTCTCTTTGTGTCAGTTTGCCACTGTTGACGCGTGTGTCTGGTTGTTTAAACTACAATTCATCAAACTCTTCAACGAACGATATTTTAAGCCCCACATTGTTATAGACTGATTTAACGCAAATCAGTATGTGAATGTCGTATAATGTATTAATTTTATTGTATTGCATGGTGTTACCATTTACTGTCATTGTCTATCTAACAATGTATACCTCTTATTTGTTATATCTGTATCTCTTTGTGTCAGTATGCCAATGTAACGATAGCGCAGTAATTAAGCCTCCACTGTGTATCTACGATCGGTATGTGAATGTCGTATTGTACTGTAATTGTATTGTACACAATACATTGTATTTCGTTGTATTGTATTGTGTTGTCGTTTACTATCATAGTCTTTTTAACAATGGACTCCTTTCTTATCTTATATTTGTGT